GTAAAGTTAATAAACAGCATGGGATAAATTTTCATTGTTATGCTGGTGGACTTGCTACCTGTCCAGGGTGTACCCCACCCAAGGCCAGAGTGGGACTCATTTTCAGCCCTGTCTCAGAGTGGCCCACTTTAGATCACGACCTATTATTATTAAAAGCATGTAATTATAAGCTTACATCAGGGGCGATTCTAGAATCTGCCTTTTAGGGGCGCTTTCAGCCCCCAGTGCTGACAAATGGCTCTTGGCTTGAACAATGTGGTGACCATTTGTGTCAGAAGCATTTCTACTCCCCCAGAAAATTTTGAATAAAGTAGATGCCATTTCCTGCATTCTGGTGTATTTTAACAGGCTTTTAACATTTAGTTTTGCCTACATAAGTAACACTTGATTCAATAACCATTTTAGAGAATGGCACAACAAGAAGTAGCCTGACCAACAGCTCTCCTTGTGTAAATAGAGCACGCTCCACTTTCACTTCTTCTTCCTATCTACAGTCTAAGAAACATACCGTAGTGTAGCCTAAGTTAACTTTTAGGGAAAAAAATCACTAGGCAATGTTACGATTACGTGGGGAACCCAGATGGTATGAGACCCAGAACGAGGCAGACACAGGGGAAGTACAAAAAGAACAGTGTTTATTATTTACAGTGAATATTCACACGCTGGTTCTCGGCAACTCCTGGAAAGAGGGACGACAGGTTAGTGTTGGTCCAGAGGGGAAGACCTGAGTGGCTTGTTTGAAGGAGGATCTTTTGTCCTTACAGTCCAAACCCGAAGGAGGGGAGCTGGTCCTTCAGTCCAAGGAGTGAACAGCAGAGGGGAATCCAACGAGGGTCCAAGGGAATGAGGAAGGCTGGCAACTGGAGGCAAAAATGGCACGAGGAATACCTGACAGGCCGAGGGATCCAGATCAGGTCATGAGGAGATCCAAAAACACGAGGAACCAGGAAACTGGAAAAGAGAACACAGGTGAACAAATTCTTTTCACCTAGACATATCTAGCTCAACAGTACTATACCATGAGAGGTGATATGCTCCAGCGATGAGTCTTCTTCTTCTTCTTCTTTGGTTTTTAACGGCAGCTTGCATCCATCAATGTTGCACTACTGCCATCTCTTGGTGTTTATAAGTTAATTTCTTTCCTCAAATTCTCTTATCGAGTCCAGTATTATTTAAAAAACGAAATATCTTTCTTTTCCCTTCATCACTATTCAGCTGCAAAGCCACATTTTCAAATTTTAGTTCCCTATTACAACCTATTTCCATTCTCAATAATCTTCTTTGACCCACATATTTCCTGCAATTAATAAAAACATGTTCTATTGTTTCTGTGGTATTACACCAATCACATAAACCAGTAGGATGTTTCCCCATCTTAAAAAGAGTGCCATTCAAAAAACTATGCCCGGTTCTTATTCTATTTATAATTATCTCCTCCCTCCTATTTATTCCTCTTATTCTTTTAACATCAACTGTATTCTGTATCCTGTATAAATGTCTCCCTTTTGTCTCATTATTCCAGCTCATTTCCCATAATTTCTTGCTTTCTTTCCAAACTATACTTTTTCCTTCAGACTTAGATAATTTTATTGACATATCAACATCTTCTTTTTAACAGCTTCTTTAGCCAACCTATCTGCTTTTTCATTACCTAAAATACCTAAATGAGCAGGAGTCCACATAATTACTATAGTTTTGTTTTGTTCACATATGATGAACAAACACAATCTCATACAAGATGTGTTGGTGATTACTTGAAGTTCCCTTTTCAATGCTTAATAGTGCTGATAATGAATCACTGCAGACTATAATTTTACTTGTTCTACCATCCTCCACCCATTCTAAAGCCAATAATATAGCACATAATTCTACAGCATATATACTCAGAAAGTTAGATGTTCTTTTCGAAAGCTTAATCTTTAATTCAGGAATCACTACTGCTACACTAGTTGCTTCAGTTTTTGGATCTTTTGAACCATCTGTATAAATTTGCAGATAATCATTATATTTCTTCTCTACTCGATCATAAAATTCTTGACAAATATCTGTAGTTTTCCTTTTCTTAATATTTAATAATGATCTATCTACATTAATATATGTCCATGCCCATGTAGGCCTTAAGGGCCATAATACTGTTGAATTAAATTCTTTGTTATATACTTTAAATGTTCTTGCTAAATTATCCCCAATCCACCCAAAACTATTTTTAAGCTCCTTTCCTTTTTCCCAACAATTTTCTAACACTTTCTTAACTGGATGAGTTTCATTGTGTCCTTTCAAATTTATCCAATACTTAACCATTAACTGCTGTCTTCTAATGCATAATGGCATTTCTCCTGATTCTACTTGTAGAGCACAAACTGGAGTTGATTTTACTGACCCTAAACAAATTCTCAGTGCTCTAGCTTGGATGACATCTAATTTATTTAGTCGAGTTTTAGCCGCTGATCCATACACCACACTCCCATAATCTATTCTTGACCGAATTAATAACACATAAATATGTTTAAGTGACTCAAATGTTGCACCCCATGCCAACCCTGCTAAACACCTCATAATGTTTAGTACCTTTTTACCCTTCTCTATGATATGATCTATGTGATTTCCCCAAGTTAATTTCTTATCAAACACTACTTCCAAAAAACAAAAATAATCAACCCTTTCTAACTCTTTTCCATATAATTTTAACTTTTTATTAACTCCGATCTTTTTATTTGTGAAAAACATGACTTTTGTCTTTTCAACTGAAAATTTGAAACCCCACTCTATTCCCCACTTACTTACTTTATCTATCCCTTCCTGAAGTTTTAAAATAAGATGTTCCACATTTCTTCCCCTTTTCCATAACGCTCCATCATCAGCAAAAAGTGATTTACCATAACTGAAAGATAAATCTTTGAAAATATCATTAATCATAACTGAAAATAGTGTAGGGCTTATCACACTTCCTTGATGGGTTCCATTTTCTATTTTACATTGTTGTGATATATGCGATCCTATTTTAACTTGAATAGTTCTGTTATATAAAAAATCCTTTAACCAATTAAACGTTTCCTCCTATTCCTGCCTGATGTAATTTAATCATTAACCCTTCTCTCCGTAGCATATTGTATGCTTTTTCTACATCAAAAAACACAGAAACAACAGTTTCCTTATTAATCTGAGCTTTTCTAACATCATCCTCTAAACATAAAATAGGATCCGTTGCTCCTCTTCCTCTACGAAAACCACTCTGATAGTGTGTAATTATGTTTCTTGATTCTAAATAATGCATCAATCTCTCGTTCACCATCCTTTCCATCAATTTACACATACTAGAGGTTAAAGCATTTGGTCTGTAATTTCCAGGATTACTGTGATCTTTCCCAGGTTTCTTCATTGGGATAATAATTGCTTCTTTCCATCTATATGGTAGACACCCTTCTCTCCATATCTTATTAAATAATATTAATAATGTATCTAATACTTTATCACTTAAATTTTTTTAACATATTATAACATATCTCATCTTTCCCTGGTGCACTGTTCCTAGTTCTACCCAAAGCTCTTTTCAATTCTCCCATAGAGAAAGGACAGTTCATCAGATCTTCATTAATATTCTCTTTTCTTCTTAAAGCTTCTACATTTCTTGATTTCGTTCTCTCCCTTCTCTGTTTTTCATCATCCGATAAATTTTCCCCACTATGTATTTCCACAAAAGTACTTGCTAAAATATCAGCCTTTTCTCTATCAGTTATTGCTATTTGATTATTTTTATTAAGTATTGGATAACTCCATTCTCTTCTGTCTCCCCCCATTTTTTTGATCATTCCCCAAACTTCCCCTATTTGTGTCCTACTACCAATTGTATCACAAAAGTCTCTCCAATATGTTCTCTTTGCTCTTCTTATTGTACTTCTTACTTTTGCCTGTGCTTTTTTATATTCAATTAGATGTTGAAAGTTATGGGACC